CTGATGGCATTAGATTTGTGGTTGTCCATACACCCAGATCTCTGTGTCTTTCTACAGTTTCTAATGCCGTTCCGTTAATATAGTACTGGTGCTTGGGAGAGGCATTTTGGCCGATGTTCAGGTGCAAGACCACGTATTTGTACACATTAAACTTCAAAAGCCATCTGATCGACCAAACACACAGCTTGTCGATTTTCGATTGCAACTTCTTTGCGTCGTCATCACACTTGACTTCACTACATATTTTTATGTCGTCTGCGAATATGAGGGTCTCGCAATCCAGTTCGCTGATGCAGTCATTAACATAAAGTAAGAAGAGTACCGAGTCTAAAACAGAACCCTGTGGGACACCACTTTCCACCTTTGCCCATTCCGAGGCAGATTTATCAATGATGACTCTTTGTACTCTGGAGGACAGAAAACTCCTGATCCACTTAAACATACTTCCTTGAATTCCTACATTCCAGATCTTCTGTAAAAGAAGCCTGTCAAAAGCCTGATCCACTTCCTTGAATTCCTACATTCCAGATCTTCTGTAAAAGAAGCCGTCAAAGGTCTTCTTTAAGTCAAAAAATATGACGCCCACTAGATAACCCCGGTATGTAGCTCGTGTTCATTTCCCGTGCGAGGAAAAACAGTCGTTAGACAGGAGTGCCCTGAACGAAAGCCATAGGTCAGTATATTTTAAGGGTAATAGGCAATTCCTTTGAAAACCATATTGGAAACGGTACATACGGTATCTGACTTTAAATAAATACTCAGTTTATGTGGTAAGGATAATAGGCAAAGCCTTTGAAAACCCCACTGATTACATGTCAGCTCGTTAGAAATAACTGTACACGAACAATAAACCCTTTTCGCTATTAAAACAGTACTTGATTCATTTGAGTAGCATTGTCTCAGAGAAAATAATTGTGTGGACGTGGGGTATTAGTTCAGATTCAGACTGTCGAGGGAAAACAGGGGACACAAATAATCATCCAAGCGCTTCTGGAAGAGTTGCAGAGATGCAGCCTCCACGACTGACTGAGGGAGATCGTTCCATTTCTCCACTACTGTCTGTGTGAAAAATTCAGAACGAAGATTCAGCCTGGACATTCTTGTCCGTAACTTCATCGAGTGACCACGAAGATTGGGTGAAAGGTGCCACTGAAATATGTCCTCAAAATACGGTACTAAAAATTTGTCAATGCGCTTAAAATAAGATTGTCCATTGGAACTGCAGGACAGAAGCTCGACAACATTCAGTTGTAAATGATAACGGTAAAATGAAATAAAAATCATGCGAATTAGCGGTAGGTGTGAGCAAGTCGTTGGTTTGTCACAACAGAGCAGTTTTGTCCAGACAAGCGGTACTTTCCAGGCAAATATATATCTGGTCTTTGCTTGAAGATCTCCATGGACTCTCCCATTATCACGTGCTCAGGAAGCCCCTTCCAGGCACCGACGATTTTCTGCGAAAAAGAGTGTCGGAGAAGGTACAGGCGGCATCGGGATACCACAAGTTTTAAAAAGTTCCCACGCAGGATGAAGAAATCGTCGAAGTTTAGACCACAGTCCCGATTCCTCAAAATCCGATACACCTGTATGAGATCTCCTCGAACCTGTCTGTACTCAAGAGGAAATTTTTTAAGTTCACTAAGTCTGCAGTTGTAAGGTAAAGCCTTGAGGCCTTTTCACAATTTTCGTCGCTCTCCTCTGAACTCTTTCTAGCAACTTATAGTCTTTTTTAGCCACGGGCGCCACGCTTGGATTCCGTATTCCAGATGCGAACGAATGAACGCTCCGCATACTTTTCCAACTAACTCTTTGTCTATATCTATGACAGTTCGTTTAATGGCAAAGAGAACACAGGGTGCCCTTTTGGCTGCCCTAACGCACTGAGAGAAAGGCTTCAGAGTCGACAAAATGTTGATCCAAAGGTCTATTTGTTCGGTCACATTTGAAGGGCACCTTCCGTCAAGCAGGTAATGATGATCCTCTCCATTGGCACTTCCATTCGTTTTAAGTCGCAGTGCGATGCACTTCTCAAAGTTCAACTTTAACAGCCATTTGACAGACCATTCACGTAGGCGGTTCAGTCCTTCTTGCAGGGCCCATTCATCATTTTTCCCGTTGATCGCTAATCATATCTTGATGTTATCGGCAAACATGACTTCATTGCAGTCCAGTCCATTCATACAGTCGTTGACGTAAATTAAAAACAGTACTGGTCCGAGTAAAGAGTCCTGGGGAACTCCATTCACAACTGGCAGTGGAGTTAACTTTGTACTACCAATACACACAAACTGTGATCGACCAGTCGGAAAGTCCTTTACCCAACTTAATAGGTTTCCCCTTATCCCTGACTCTCGGACGTTGTGAAGTAATCGGCGGTGTGGAAGACTATCAAAGGCCTTCTTAAAATCGATGTAAACGATATCGACTCTTGTTCCTTCGTCTAATGGGCGGGACCACTGTTACGTTGAATAGAGCATATTAGTGAGGCAGGAGTGATTTCGTCGAAAGCCATGTTGGGAACTAGCAATGAAATTATTTTCTTCAAGAAACTTCAGAATGGCTTTTTTGACAATTCTCTCCATGGCTTTGCAACAAATGCATGTTAGGCTCACCGGCCGATAATTGTTTGTACTTGTTCTAAATCCACCCTTGTTAATGGGGTACATGTTCGCCACATTCCAATCAGAGGGGAGAATTCCTCGGTCAAAGGATGACCTGAAAATATGCAAAAGCGGTCTGGTGAGTTCGCGAGCCAACTCCTTCAGAACTTTTACCGGTATTTGGTCTGGACCCGGAGACTTACCCTCCTTAAGCGCTAGAAGTGCCTTCCTCATATCTTCTTGCGTGAAGTCGAAGTTTTCTATCATTTCGTAGGTTGTCCCAATAGGCATCACACCATATTTTCCTCTTTTTTCCCCAGGAATTCCATCAAATCTCTTTTGATAATCTGTTCTATTATTTTACAGGCGATGCATGTAGGACTGACGGGACGATAATTTCCGCAGTCAAGTCGTGAGCCTCCTTAATGGATCGGACTGATGAGTGCACATTTCCATTCTTTCGGGAACTCGTCTTCTTCAAATGATTTCTGAAATATTGCGGGCAGTGGTTCGCGCAATTCATTAGCAAATTCGGGAAGTGGTAGAGCGTGCATTCTACACGCGCCAGGTGATTTGGCAGGTTTCAGTCGGAATAGTTCGGCCATAACTATGGTCGATGAAAAGAGTGGTTCACACTGACAGTCTTTATAATGGTGATATTTTCGTATCCTCTTAGGATAAAATTGTGAAGCTGATGGAATATTTCCATTTCATGGTGCGTTCTGTCCCTCGGGGTGTCGGAAGTAAAATAGGGTATGCCATTTTTGTCGATTGCATTGCTGCAATTAACTCGAGGACCTCGTAGTCCTTACATACGTGCAGATACTTTATTACGGATTATTGGTCGTCGCTTTTTTCCGATTTCAGGAGGTTTGGCATAGCACATCCCACGCACGGTTTTACGCTTACCAGGACTTTTCGTCATTCGCGACCTTCGGTAGGATAGTTTTGCCTACAGTGCACACAACTTCTGTTTCCTAATCAAAACTTCTTAGCATTTTCATGATGCTCTGAGACATTTTGTTGATCTTAAAAATTCGTTCTACTCGCACGTTACTTGGACCAAACCCCAATTTTCGTTGGCAATGAGCTCCATACACACATTGTTTTCTTACTCATGTGCTCACATTACCGAGGAAGCTGTGTTTGCGAACGTTCCTCCTTCTTTCTGAATTCCTGGTGTCCGCGATTCCCTTTATTCTGCTAAGGCCCAGATGGGTTTATCAACTCCTTCGTCTCAGAATTTAGGCCTTCTACCTCCTCCGCCATTTCTAGAATGTTTGAAGAAGTCTGAAGCAGATTTTCAAGATTCGTCTTCATATTTTATGTTCATCTAACTTAGTAAACTCCTCGTTTGTTTGGCGGGAGGTGAACTGATGGCAGTCATGGAGTCATTTTTACCATGACTAATTTTTATTAATTCACGTATTTCAGCCCGCCTACCAGGCGTTCATATTCTTGTGGCGATCTTACTGGGCACGCCTGGCCGTCACCAAGTTTCGGATCTGATTTGCGACGGATTTTGCGTACGTTCAACTCCGATCATTGATTGAAAGAATTTGGGCCGCACTGAAAAGTATCGCACGGCATTTCTAATCAGGCTGACGTTATGAAATTATTTGGATTTGGAGGATTCCATCCGGCTGTTGCCAGAGCAGCGACCAGAATGGTATATAATCTTTCTGTTTAGATCCGGTTGTTAATGTATGAGGATGGGGATATTGATTGGTCATATCTAATTCTTTTTAACGTATGGCCAGTAAATCAAAATACCAAAGAAAGTTGATCACTTGGGGACCGAGTAATTCAAACCGAGTTGCGACACGCGCGGGTAATACATGGGAAGTTTACGAGTAAACCAACAGTTGACTTGTGAATTAAGCCCGAGGCTGCTTACACAGCCTTTCCTGTCTGTATAGTAGACAATGCGAAACAGCGGAACATACAATAATAAGTTGGAATGTGTTTCATTAAATGAATTCGGGAATATTTTCGGATAATGAAGAAAATATGTCGTCGAAAAATAAAACATATATGAAAAAACGTTTTTGCACTACGATAAACTTGATGATTGTCAATTTCCTTATTACATTGTCTTAGGCAGTCAGGTTGTATCTGCTTGCTAACTGACAGGCACCTAATAGCATTATTCCAAGGTTTCTGCTAATCGCTGCAGTGCTAGGCTTGGTTTCTATACTCCTACAGTTTCTCGTCGGAATGCAATGATAAATCCATGAATCCCCTGATTCTCGGAGAATTCTGTCTTTTTTCCCGATCTGTCTGCCTAACTTGCAAATGCATAAAACAATGAACAGATTTTTCAGGGCGATTCGGAAAAAATAATTGTCAAGGCCGCTGTGATTACTAGCCAATCAGAATGCGATTGGGCGGTTCGGGAAAATGTCGAGCTGTGCTCGCCCTCCATTGATATTTGATGTCCAGATCGTACGTTCTGTTATTATTTACTGTTTAAATTGGTATACGGAACTTTTCACTCTTATTTCTTAGTTTTCGAGAGATATTTGTATTTCGTGCTGGTTACGAATCCAGTGATAATGTGCCGACACGAAGCCATGTTGTCCATGCCCTATGAAATGTATAACTAGCATTTTAGTATTCCAGATGCTAGCCCGGTCGTAGACTAGTCTTGAAGTTGGCTGAATCTTCTAGACAATCTCTTCGCGCAGCATTTCTCCCGTGTGACTGGCATCACACACGCGCCGCCAGCCAGTTAGATTACTGGCCCTCCACTGGCCCGCAAATCGAAACGGACCAGCAAATTTCTAACTCTGGGGCCTAAATGCTATCAAAGTCGGCTTGCTCTAACATTTTGTAAGTAGGAGTACCCATCCCCCATCTGTAGCATAACTATCGCGTCATTTAGTGCTGCTTCGAATGTATTAATCCCTGCAATAATTTCTAGTGGCGTTGACCGAGGACTGTCCGTGGGGCTTCGTACAGAGCACGTGTGCCTGGATAGACTTATTGTGATAATTATCTGGATTCGCTACTCGACGGCGACGACTCACCTATCCATGTTTTGTCTGATTTCTGTTGCGTTTCGCGTCAATAGTGAACTGAACGGCCATCCCGTCCTCAGACATCCTACCTTGCGGCGATAGGGAACGCAGAAAAGACTGGATCTCGTATTGTTTGTAAGCAGGACAACATGTCATAGAGTGGCTTCGAGTTGCTGCCCTATTCATTTACTGATGCGATAGCAGGCTAAAATGAGCGTTAGCAGATACTTTTTCGCTTTAGCCAACTTACGGTAGTCGCCGAAGTTCGACCGTCAAGTCCCGCCCAGAAGGCCAATAGATGGGTTGTTTGTTTGCTTGCAAGATTTGGGCCTAATTGGGGCTCGGATTTGTCTGTGTTCACATCTATAACCCGACAATATGTACAGAAAGGATAGGACGATTCCAGATGTCGTCATAACTGTAATAATCCTTTACCGGGATCTAGCCTCTAAACGGAAGTTTTTTGGCTGTAAGACTTGCGGTGAAGGGTTGCCATGATGTCGTGCACGTGCGAGGTGTTGACAGAGTTCTCGTGTGGCGATGTAATCTTTTTAAATCCTGAATAGTAAAGCTAGCAATTTCACTGACTGAAGGGCACTGTCGTTTATCGCACATAGAACTAAACTTGGCTTCAGCGTCATATTAAGAACACTTTCACCTTAATTTCCTAAACTCCCTTCTAATTTTCCCCATCATTTCAAAAGGTTGGTATCTAACATGCGGTGACAAATTCCAGCTAACACCCCATGTAATAAGAACATTAGGTGTCTGGTGACCAAATACCGCTAGATCGCCCCCACTAAACTGAGAAATTCTCCGCGTATACGTTCTCCTTGTTTCACCAAGTCCAACTGTTAAGCCGCAATCATCGTAGTTCCCTTGATAACAAATGATACATATTCGAGTGAAATAGATTAGGTCTCTTAAATGGGGAAGAGAACGAAACTACCCTTTATCTAACGGTGACCTTTCACAGAACACCACCGACTTGCCAGTAAACGTCAGGGCAGCCAGGGGAATGACGCTCCCCATCTTAAACTCCAATTCTTTTTATGCCCTCAATTGTCTGGGGTAGTCGCACAGTGTCTTCTAACTTTATGTACGTCAATGTCTCTTCAGTGTTTTAAGTGGGAAAAATAACCCTCATAACTTCTCTGATTCTGTGTTCTGAATAGTACCTTGCTTTTCATACGTACGCTTTGAAGTTTAGTCTTATTTTTGTCAGTGCTTTATGTTTTGCCTGCAGCTCCGCCATTCATGGTTGTACACGATGCGGGATACCGTTCTCTTTGGCGCTCCCTTCCTTATATATAACGAAAACGTGTCAGAGCTTTACCTGCCTATATTACCAGTCGCTGTGCTACTGCCTAGGGGGATCTAGATAAAACCCCAAAGCACAACAGAAGGAGTGTATTCTGTAACCCGATCGGTGAATGCACTTCCAGCATAGTAAATATTCCCGACCGCAACCGACGAGCGATCCAGGATCCAGTCATTTTTCGGCTTATCTTGCTTCCGGTGTGGGCAATTATCATGGCGGCTACGAAGTTAAACTCATGACCCGTGTCGAAGATGTGGGCGACCATTTACGATAATTTTTCCCCTAGTCGTACAGTCAGCTTATGTTCGTGAATGCGCTATCAGAGCATGTGTCCACTCTAACCGGTGTGTTTTCAAGGACAGTTTAGGCACGAGATGCAATACACTACCTCAGACTGCTTCTTAAGTCCGATCGGCCTTGATTTTCATTATCCTGCTGCGCATGATAAGTTTAGGTCGCCGTGCTGTGGGACTGCGCGTTAGAATTACGCACCGGCTGTTGCTAGTTTTCTTACCGCTGTCATCTCTGATGATGGACTCCTGGAGGGTTCAGCCAGTCTTCTCTCTCTCACACATACCTGAAGCTCGAACATTTTCCACCATTCGGTAGTATTTATTGTCGAACTAACAGTAATTTTGGAGGCAGAGACTGAGCATTTCTAAAATATGCTGCGTTTGGATGCCAATAAGATCGTTGCGCAAGTGCTGAGCTGCCAAACCATGAAAAAAGTGGGCCAACGACGTTAAAAAAACTTTATTAACACCCTTTGTCCTTTGGATGAATGCGTGAGGGTAGTGTAGTCCATCCATTAGCTGCTTCATGTGAATTTGCAAGTGCTTAGTTATGTTAAAAGTAGGTGATTAGATGAGTGGCAGTATCTTGCTCTGTGGTACATTTTGTGGGAGGGAGAACTGCGCACAGGTATTACTGGGAGTCAGCAACGTAGGGTCGTTGGGACGCATGTGTTATGTTGAGCAGTCTTATCTAACTTCTCCTTGGGGGTCGACTCAACACCTAGCTCAGCACAGTTCGTCAAGTTATGGAGGCGGTTCTTGGATCTTCGGTATTCGGTCTCTGTCGTTGGCGAACAGAATGGGTTGAACTGTTCAGATCTGCGGCCGCAGATCGTCACACGTGAAGAGGTACTGTTCAGGGCATCACCAAGGCCGACTAGACCAGGCATGGTTGCAACTGTACCAAGTACAAGTCGCGGCCGGCCTTCTAGCTGGATTTTCGGAGTGGGGTGAAAGCTTTCCTGTTATTGAATTCTTATTTTATATTGTTGGCGTCCATGAAGACGGTTGTGTCATCTGCGACATATACTACAACCATTCCGTGATCGAAATCCAGAGATCGGAACCTTTGATCCTTCTCTGTTAGTGGGCTTTTCTGACACCAGTTTCGTCGGAGACCAGTGAAAACCTGCCTATGTCAATGCACATATATTCGGGAAGGGCAGGGGTCAGTTTAGCGGACCCAAAACCACCCCGGGAACCCGTACGATAGGAGAGGGGATCATTTTATGGGCTATGCGTTTGGAAATTTCGCTTGAACCGATCATAAAGAGTGGATGCAAGCATGCAGTTCAGTTAAAAATCAGACACCGCTGAGACTTAACTTTAGCCACCTTATTGCTATCGCAGCACTTAGTAAGATGGTGGCAGATCAATATGCCTGTCGACTGAGTCATTGGTTGAATGCCACGCTTCCTGCAGTGAGCGTGCGATCCAGTTATTTGATTAGTATTGGACTTCCAAGAGGCTGAAAACGGAATCATGTCCTAGAAAAGCTGAGCAAGCGACCGCCAGAAACCGTCTACTTTTGTCAGCAGTACGCGTCACCATTGTAGGCTTTATCGCTATTATATCCAATCTGATAGGTAGTGTCATATTTTTGACGGAATGACACGGAATCTTTTGCATGTGTGAACTGTAGCTAATTGTCGCCTCCTAACTGCAATCCACTCAAGTCCCCTGCTCGGCCACTAGGTTGGAAAGTTATTATGATACACCAACAGCATATTGCACATCACCCTATCACTTCTCGCGTCTCAGACAATCCCACTGACGTATTCATTGGCCGTGAAGAGATTTTAGAGGCATCGTTCTGCGCCTCGCTCTAGCACTCATCAACATAGCATGAGGGCGTTTATATGAAGCTAGGTCTATATACACTGCGGTGGTTGCTGTAAAAGCGTTGAACACGATGAGATTTGTCGCCTTCCTGTTTTGAGTCCCTCATTACTTTTTCCGCGGACCGCACATCCAGCAGGCCTTCAAGACAGCTGCCATATAAAACCCGACTAGATCACACATAGTTGCTTCTCCTCTGCGGTTAGCACACCGAGCCTTTGGAGTTTTCTTTTACTGAGAGCAAATGAGGTCTGCATCATCAGGCTGAACTGAAGTGGTGCATGATATTCTAACCTTCACCTGATGTGGTTGCGGAGGCTTTATCAGTGCCTTCGCTGTCGGCTGTTCGCATTGCTGTAAAAGTGTAAAGTTACGGAAATCGTCTTTTTGAAATTTTTGAGGAAATCAGCAACGGTGTTTTACATGGCGCGTGCTTTTCCTGCTCTAATACATTTGGTATTTGCAACTATCTACAGGCAAAAACGCTTGCTACGGAGGAACACGCACCTAAACGGGACATGAATAAAGACGACGTAATTCTCTGTATTCTCTGTGGCTAATCTACATCGGTTTTAGGCTATCGACTCGATACGGCCGAATCAATCTGTAAGATTTAATTTAGGCCTACTATTACCGTCAGGAAGTATTTCCGAAAAACGAACCCGAATCCAATGAAAACGGCTGGGCAACCAGCGGCGATGATAGGCAGCCGTCACCATCTTCAGAATCGCCATCTTTTTCAAATATAACTGAGTTTATAAACCATCCATCCGCGGCTTTGTCAAACCTGCCAAAAGGAGAATCAAATACATCAAACAGTTTATCAGTTTCCGTCGGACCATCTAGTACAGGAGCGCCTATGGAGGTTGAAGCTGCAGGTTTGTTTCCTATGCATTCATGGTCTATATTTTTGGATAGGAATCCAGTACACCCATTGCAAGGCTGAAGAACCTGCTTGCAAGAAGTCTGCCGAAGACCCTGTGGACAATCTCCATTTATGTGAGTGACTTTTACACATTTACAACTTACTTTAACATTGCTTAGACGTTTTTTTTTCGCGCGTCAATCAAATTTGGTGGTTTACTTCGTTAAACATACCCTGATCATCCTCTCCACACAAGGGACTACTAACGGAAAACCACCTTTCGGTCACATGTCATTATACTGGTCTAATTCGTCGCGTTTCACGGGGGATTTAACTTGAGAAACAAAATCTCCAAATCCGACAGTCATAAAGGACCTTTTACAGCTTGAGAACGCGATCTTACTAGAGATAGATTAGGCCTGAAAAGTCCCCACCTCTCTAAATTTGTTACTGATACCGGTCTCGATAGCTCAGTTTTTGGGTTTGACAGCTCCTGACTTCGTGAGACATGTTTAAACGAGTTCTGTTGCTGTAGTCAGACCCGGATTCTCAGATAGAATCCGCCTGTCATTAACCTATGCATGACTTAATGTTTTTGATGTTTTGTACAAGAGTCTGTTAAAGTCCGAACTCCTACGTGTAAGTCTTCTGAGCGAAGAACGACGACGACGATCACAACTGTTTCGTACTGCGGGTTCGTCGTATCGCGAATAGTTGTCACCTTTTGCCTGCGTCTGACGGCGGACTTCCAGGCATATTTGAGCACTTAGGCCAAGTCAGCTCCGCAGACCTGAGGCGCATTCGCGACCAAGTACTTCTTCGGCTAATCGTCCGATTTCGTTGTCTGTCAGGACGGGGTTCAGGTGAAATCACACGCCGCAAGATTACATCCTTCGTGCAGATGAAGAACTGTGTGCTCCTCACTTTGCGCCAGACCGACTACACGAAATCTACAGCTCTCTCCACGTACCACAGGAAAGTGATAAGATCTGCGAGCTGAATAACACCCGCCAGCTATTCAGACGTCCTTCCAGGGCGGGTCGCATATGCTAGCACCAACTTCCAACTCCAACATCACTTCCACGTATAGACATCACGTGTCACAAGTAGACTCATCGTGCGTCCAGTGCCGGTACCGTTACAACAACTTCCAGTGCCTGTTCGCAGAAGGCTGAAGACGATAGCAGCGAACAAGTGGAGAGCGTCAGTAAGGATGCTTTTCAGTCCGAAAAGTACCACCTAGAAAATACATACTTCTACCTGTGACACTGTTTATCGGGCAAGATTTCTGTCACAGCTTCAAGTTGTCGCCAACACGCTGGGTGACAGTCTCCCACGCGAAGCTGAACAAGTTGGGATGTCAGCCTCGCAAACTGCAGACCAGGGATGCGTTCGAGGTCACACACACGTCTTTGATTGATCACCTTGTCGTCGTTGCGAGCCTGGTCTAGGGCCAAACGAAGTGACATCTTGTAGACTTGCACTGTCAGACCGGCCCATACAATCTTCCTCGACGAGTGAGGGGGGCACAGTCGAGTCATCCTATTCGTGAGTGAGTTCACAGTGGTTCGCTGGAGGAACCATCACAGTGACCAACCGGAGAGATGCATCCAAGGTGTGATCCACCAAACACACCCAGGAGCAGGGGCCATGTCCCGCATCTGCACAGACAGATTGTCCTGGCAAAACACCCGTACACTCGGAGCTTGCCTTTGAGAAACAGGCCTCACACCGATTCCAGATGTTTCACTGAAGTTGCCGCAATTTTGGAGTTCGCCCTAACGCTGCCCGTTCCTCAGAAAGTTTGGACCTAGGTGGCGGGACCTGCACACCAATCCGAGAGCTCTGATAGCAGTACAACTGGACTGACATCTCCGACGACGAACCTGGAGTGCTCATTCTTGTTTTGGAAGGACCGATTTTCAGGCCCATCGCTGTTTTCTTCGGACCTAAGTGGGACATGGGATACTGCATTTCCAAATAGGGGCTCGCTAGAACAGCAACGTCACTATCGTAGGCAGGATCGGCAGTGCAGAGATCACGACCAACGACATCGCTCGAGGTAGCCTGTCAGTGCGTGCTGAATAGCCTAGGCTGCCGCGTGATGGAATACGCAGTCCCAACGGCCATAAAGGAAGATAAGTTATTTCGCTGGCATGGAGTCATGCATGAGGTTCGACTTCGGAGGATCCTTATGAAAGGTGCAAACGCAGACACAAAACCGACGAAACGAATGGAAATAGGCCATTGTTGGCATTAGCTTTGTTTGAATATTTGACGAAGAGGAAGGCGTGGAGCACCCAGTTGAAAACCCCACCAGTTTTTGTCACCGCGTGACAGTACAAGCGAATGTCATCGAAGTGGATGACTACGAAGACTTTGGTGGTCGCGCTTGTGAGGTTACGCCCTACCTTGACGATCTGGCACTTTTCTCGAAGACCGACCCACCGACAACGTCTTTGCATTCTGTTGTTGCAATCGCTGTTCTGCGACGTTGAGGCAGAAGGCAGTCTGCGCAGCGAGCAGATGACCGGCCTGCAAAACGTTAGGCCATTCAAAAGCGCTCACAGTACTTGTGCAGTAAAAACTACAATAGGGACGGCAGACGCCGACAAGGACATGGAGTTCAGTGCAGGTAGCCGATGCCAATCAAATAGCGTTGCCTCGTCGACATTAAAGATCACTTTCGAGGACTTGCGATCGTTGCAGGCAAAGCGCGCTACCGCAAGACGCACTTCTCCGACCTTTGGAATTGCCCCATCAGTTGGTCAGGCTGTTCCACTGGAGCTCCAAGCGTAGACGCCTGCCCTGGCCTAGCATCTACTCGAGAGTACCCTTAGGAGTACATTTTGACTCAAATCATCTGTATTCTCCGGGAAGGCCACGAAGCCGGTTTTCGCCGACGTTAAAGGGTCGGGACGGTTGGAGACGCCCTGACGAAGACCTACGGTGGTGGCGAGATATAGTCCACGCTGCACTTCTCCGCTGGTCGCTTCCTTTAGACAAGAAAAAGACTGAGCGGCTCACAAAGGGAGTACTCATGTCAGCGTTTTCCCGTTACCGTCCCGAGCATACGACTTTTTGTGCTCCAGAGGGAATTTCTTTATATTCTTATTGACCCAACTGTGAAAAACTCGGCGCCTCGGTGGGA